ACTGCTATAAAAAGCTTGACAGAACACTAGCTAAAAGGAACAAAGCACTAGCTAAAAGGAGCAAAAAAAACCCCACCCTGCTGTAAAAGGCATGACACTAAAAGAAGCCTGACACTAGCTAAAAGCAGAACACAGCTAAAACAAGCGGAATACCAGTTAAAAGAAACAAAACACAAGCTAAAAGAAGCTAAATTACTAGCTAAAAATAACAAAACTTAGCAGAAAGGAGCAAAAAAAAAAAAAGCTATAAAAGGCACGACACTAGCTAAAAGCAGAACACAGCTAAAAGGAGAAAAAAATACCTAAAAGCAAATGGCGGATCACTTGCTAAAAGAGCAAAACATTAGCTAAAATAAACAAAGAGCTAGCTAAAAGCAGCAGAACATTGGCTGAAGGCTAAAAGAAGCAAAACACTAGCTAAAACCAACAAATCACAACTAGCGAACATGTACAGGAAAAAAGCTTATAGAAGTAAAATGTAGCAAAATGCTTGCTAAAAACCTAAAAAGATAAAACTGTAGCAAGAAGCTAAAACAAAACCAAATGTCCCTCTGAGATAAATAATCTTTCTAAAAGTAGCAAAAATCTCCACGTATTTTAATCTAAATAAAATTGGTAAAGAAAGTCAAATATTTTGAGTATTTAAGTTGCACATATTGAAAGTAATAGCATAATGAGCTGAAAGTTTTGATAAGTGGCTAAACAACAAAACCTGCAGCTGGAGTGGAAGGTGAGAACTGACGGGCTGCCTAAAGCACGTTGTTTTGGTCTTTCCTTCCAGAGTGTTCGGGTTTGTTGCCAAGAAGCCGGGCAGCGCGGGGGAGAACGTCTGCCACCTGTTCGCAGAGCTGGACCCCGAACAGCCGGCCTCGGCCATCGTCAACTTCATCAACAAGGTCATGTTGGCGCCGCGCCGATAAAAGGAACCGACGACGAAAAGAGGCAAAACGAGCAGCGCCGACGGGACGACACCCAGACCACGAACGGGTTTTTAAATTTAATCCAAGAGCTGAAACCTCCGACCGACCCGACGGGTGGTTCTGGATTTATTTTCCAACTCGCGTCACAACTCCTCCAGGAGCGAGGAGGCTTCAGACAAACAGACCAGTTTAAAAAACAACAACTAACCTTGAACTAAAACAACTTCAGCTGCGGACGTCAGGACATATTAGAAAACATCACTCCCGTGTTTTCCTTTCATCTTTTTTTTTTTGTCCATCTAGTCTTGAAGAACAAATTAAAAAAAAAAAAAAAAGGAAAAACATCAAAATCTGATGACCGTTGGCGATTTAGTTAATTATTATTTGTGACGACTGCAGCCAGTCCGCGTTAGATTCTGAAATATTAAGAGGGAAAAATGACACAAAACCACACGAGACTGGTTTGTAATTAAGCTCCGCCTCTTCCACTGAATTGATGTTTCCATGACGACCACTGATGGGTTAACCAAAGCCAGGCTCCTCCTTTCAGACGCTTGGATGAAGATGTTGGTACCGCTTCACAACAAGAACCTTTAGTTTTGTTTTTCTTTCGGCTGCGCCCTTCAGGGGTCAGAGAACTCGCACGAAGACTTGGCAACTTTGACCCCCCAGACCACGGAGCTACCACAGCCCCAGAGGGTGGGGGTAAAGAGCCTTGCTCAAGGGCCCAGAGTGGGGCAAATGGGGGTGGAGGCAGACCTTTCCCACCCATATTTTGATGACGTCAGTCTGGGGAGTTGAACCGGCAACCTTCCGATCACAGGCCCACCTTCTCTAGCGTCTGCCCCACCACTTCCCCTACCCTTAACACTACAAATCATGTCCTGTTCGGGTTTTCTTTTATTTTGCTAATTTATTGTTTAACCCTCCTGCTGCCCTTGGGTCAAAATGATCCATGAAGCCTCAGTCCAACAGGCTTGGCCCAAGGGCAGCAGGGTTTTATTTTACTTTGCCAAACAACTTTATTAATAAATCCTCGTACACGTAACTCACTGATACTATGATCTCAAATATGACTCCCCCTAAAAAAAAAGAGCTAAAGTTCAGCACTCGGCTTTATTTTTTCTGTGCTTTAGCTACAAACTCATGAACAAACCCTTTTTGTGAAGCGGTACCAAGACGCCGCCGTGGACCCAAACAGTGACAGAACCACCGGACAGCTTCATGGACGCTGAAACACGAGGAGCTCTTTCTTCTTCACAATAAATTCTGACAAAAGGTGAACAGTCGGACACAAAACTCTTAAAGACAACACGTTTATTTAGTTAAATCGACCAATGGTGATGTCATCAACTTCCTGTGTGAATTCTGTTTGTACATAACGGCACCTTTCGTCATTTTTATTTTTTATTGTACGCGACAATCACGTTTGCATTTCGCTCAGACGTTGAACGTGAGGTTTCCGACTCTCTGATGGGTGTGTGCACGTGACGATGAGGGTGAACGTGTCAGATGAAGTCGTGCGTGTGAAACGAGGAAAAGGACCAAAGACGTGTAAAAGTTTGGACGCACCGATTCACAAGTGTCAAAACAAACCAGTGGCCACAAACATAACCAAAGATGAAGCACTATTGTATTAATAAGCTCTTTATCAAACTATATTTTTGTACTTACTGCTTCTTGTATTTTTCATTTACTTACCGTTGTTTTAGTTGGTAGAAAACGCACGACGTGTATTACGGCGATAATATATTGTGACCTCGTCTGCTGTCATGTAGTAATATATTTTCACCAGCAGCTACGAGGCAGAAAAGGAAACGTTTTATATGTAAACAACAAATAAATAAAAACCCTTGGATGATCTTTTTTGAGTTGTTGCAGCTGAAACTTGGATTGAGGATGACGAAGCATTTTCTTCTGTACGTTTTGAAGCTGTTTCAACAAAACGTTCAGCTGTTTCAGGACGATCCTGCTGTGACTTTTATTGGTGCAACTTTAGCTTTTTGAAATATTTAGCCTTTTCCCGCATAAGAAACAAACTATTTTCCATTCTTAAATTATTTAGATCTCTTTACAACCCTTTACTGCTCCTTTCACATTTTGTTCTGCTTCAGCTTCCTTGTGCAAATTTAAGCTTCTTTTTTAGCTACTTTCAGCTGTTTTGTGCTCTTTTCAGATCATTTCTGCAAGCTTCAGCTTTTTCTACTATTTCAGCTAGTATTTAGGTATTTTTATTCTAACTTCAACTAATTCCACATTTTTTGCACTCATTTCAACTTTTCAGCCTAATTCAGCACTCTCTCTCCACGTCCTTGTAATTTCAGCTTTCTGCTTTTTTTAGCTACTTTAATGGCTAATGTTAGCTTTTTTCAGCAAACGTGTTCTTTATACTTTATTCTAATTTAAGCTTGCTCTACCTTTTCAGCATTTTTTCAGCTAATTTCAGATAAATTCAAGTTTTTGTGGTAATTGCTACTTTCATCTTTCTGCTACTTTCAGCTTGTTCTCCTTTTAGTTCATCTCTGCTAGTTTCAGCTACTGCTAAGCGGTTTTTATGCTAAATTCATTTGATTCCACATTCTTGGAGCTTATTTCAGCTCCTTCCTCTTCCTTCTTGTAGTTGCACCTTCTTTCTTTAGTTACTTTCAGCTATTATTTTTTGCTAATTTCAGATTTTTTTTTTTTTTAGCTAGTTTGCTCATTTTTGTTCTCATTTCAGCTTATTTTAAACTGATTCAGCAAATTTGTGTTCTTTGCTTTTTTTCTGCTCAGTTATGCTTGTTCTTTCATTTCGGCAGGTTTTAGCTCATTTCTTCTGCAACAAGGACTCATGCTGCATTTTTCACAGGAAATTCAGTTTCTCTAGTTGCTATTAATTTAATTTGATGCATAAAAATATCCAAGTAGGATCAAGTTAGTGTTTGCTGCTCTCTGACGATCATGTTCTTGTTTCTGAGTGAAACTGACTGAGGGCCTTAGAGAAGAGGAAGCAGTTTAAATCAGTCATAGTTTAAATGACGTCTGCAGCAGGGTTTCATAGCTAAGTAGTGTTTGTCGTGCTGCATTCAGGGGCAGTTAGAAACCGGAGCTTTACGCTTTAATCTAGGAAAGAAAACTAGTTTGGAATAAATCATTTTGGTAGCAGTTTAAACAATAAAAGCAAAAGCAGCGTTACAGAGCAAAATAATTTTTTTTTTTAAGTAGCTATTTAAAAAGAGCAAACGTTCATTTTTACACAGAAATAAAGCTGAAAAACTTTGAACACAAATAAATTTCAGTTTAAAGTTTTAAGTGACTCGGCTTTAAACTTCCCACGAGTCTGACTCCCTTTTCTATATGTTCACACTTCCCTTTCATATTCATGTAAAAACACACTTTGAGAGTAAAAAGCATCAAACTCACTTTAAAGTCCAGTACATTCCTCTCTTTTGGTGTTTGTGACTTTAATGACTTATTTATGTTTAACTCACCGACGGAACCGAACTGAGCAACATCCAGATGCTCGGCAGCTCATACTCGAGGTGCAGGAGTTCTATTTAAGAAAAGTGGGTTTCCCTCCCTGTGGAACGCCACTCTGTATCGAGCACTGTTCCACACAAAGTTCAAGACTTTTAAGTTTTAATCTAAAAACCGGTGCTTATAGACTGGTTGGAAGAACTTTAAAATTGCTGAAAAAGTAAAGAACAGCAAAACAAAACTGTAAATATCGGTTTCAAGGTGCAAAAGCGATTTTTGAATAACCCAAAAGCAGAAACAGCAATCCCCCGACCCCCCTTTTTTTTAAGAAACGACAGCAGCGTTCTTTGAGAGTTCTCAGCAGAAACAGAACCAGCTCAAGCTCTTGTGCAAATGTTGTTAACGTCTGGGAATTTAAGTCATTTTTCCTGAATAAAAAGAGCTCTCTGTGGCGGCAGAGAAACGTTCAGCTCGCCTCTTCGTTGTCAACAGTGTGTGTGAGTGTGTGTGTGTGTGTGTGGGGGGGGGGGGGGGGGGTTGGTATTTAAACTGACTTTTTCCAACTCCAAGCTGAACTGAACTCTTAACAAAAACCTTTTTATCTCATGTTTGAGGTGTGCAGTTAGCATGTTCTTGCAGCCGGTGACGGAGTCGTCCCCGTCCGGAGGCGGCGTCTCACACGAGGCCGGGGCTGTGGGAGACGCGTCCGTCTGTGCGGGGGTACGTGGTGTTGGAGCCACAGTCTATGTAGCGATACGCCTCCAGGCTGTTCTGGGACGTTCGCACCATGTAGGAGGTTTTCACGGTGGTTCTGAAAGCGGGTGAGGAGAAACGAGAAATGTGTAAAATACAAATAAATAAACAACCTGCAGCTCATAATGCTGCTCCAACTGTAAACAAAACGATTGTAACGTCCGCTCCTCCGCAGAACCTTTAGAAACAAACTAGAGAAACTCAAGAGTTTACTGAAGAGGCCGAAACCGAGTCGTTACAGCTAAACGCAGCAAAACACTAGCTAAAAGTTAAAAAGCAAAACAAAGAAAATGTATCAAAACTACAGTAGCTACAAGTAGCAACACATCAGCTAAAAGAGGTCAAATGCTGAAAGCCAAAAGTAGCAAAACGCTAACTAAAAAGAGCAAAAACAAAACTAAAAAGTTAAAATGTAACTATGTCAAAACTAGCTCAAAGTAGCTACACGCTAGCTAAACTCCAATTTGCAAAACAGTACCTACAGCTAAAAGTAGCAAAAGGTTAACTAAAATTGCTAAATTCTAGCAAAAGTAACCAGAAAACACTTAGAAGCTAAAAGTAGCAAACAGCAAATTAAAAGCAACAAATTTAGCTAAAATTAGAAAGAAAAAAAACTAACATGTTCCGTTCAGCTGCTCCTTTTTACAGGAGTTGTCACAGCGAGTGAAAGATTTGTTTTACACCTGACGCAACCTGGGCTCGAACCCGCAACCTCAGAATTACAAATCTGCAGCGCTAAGCTACCACTGCCCCAGAAAAAGCTTAGCAAAAGTAGCTAAAAACTACCTAAAAAGCTATCTTCAGCTAGCCTAGAGCACTTTTCTTTTTATAGCGTTTTGGACGTTTTGAGAGCTAAAAGTAGCAAAATAGTAGCTAGAAGCTAAAACCAGCAAAACACTGAACATCAAGCCAGTTTTCTTTAAGACTTTTTTTAAAGCTTTTAATAAATTCTGGTAACTTTCAAACGTGTAAAACCTTTTCGAAACACACTTACTGCATAAATACGACGATGTTGTGGACTCTGATGACGGGCATCGTGCAGAAGGCGCTGAGGACCAGAAACCAGGAGAAAAAGCTTTTTAAACAACTCTGACCCGTTTGGTTGCTCTGCACAGGCCGCTTGTGTCGGAGTTTCAGCGCCAACACTTACTAGACGTTAGGAGCGGTGCTGCCGATCGCCAAGCTCACCGTGTAGTTCATCTGTAGAAGAAAGCTCGTGAGACTTTGAGGCAAACCTCAAACACCGAGGGGACAAAAAGACAACGGCCAAGAAACTGTGAAGTGCAACACTTCAAGTTTTACATTTATCTGGGATTAATGTTAACGGCAACAAATTCAAGGAAAACCCAAAAAGCAACTACGTCTTCTCTCAAAGGCCAAAAACCAAAATATACGTTTATATTTGTGAGAAGATTCCAACTTTACAGCATTTTTAACCACGCCTGCCTGCCTAAAACTTTTGCACAACATCGTATGAATAAATGTATTTGTTATGCTGATGATAGTTATATTTATCCATGAAACCCAATGGATCCAGTCAGTAAAGAAATAAAAACCTGGATGACCCTAAATTTTCTGCTTTTAAACTCGGACGACTCAGGTTTTGGGTTTTGGACCTTAGGAATTAATTTTTCAGTCTTTCTCCTCCTAATGTTAAAAATCTTGGTGTTATTTTTGATCAGGACGCGTCTTTTAACACCCACATTAAAAACGTTACTAGAACCACCTGCGTAATATCACTAAAATTAGAAACATCTAAAAATGATGCAGAAAAACTGGTCCGTGCATTTGTCACGTCTAGACTGGACTATTGCAATGGTTTATTATCTGGTGTCCAAAAACTTCTTTAAAACGTCTTCAGTTGATCCAAAATGCTGCTGCCAGAGTCTTAACTGGAGTTACTGGGAGAGACCATATCTCTCCAGTTTTAGCTTCTCTCCACTGGCTCCCTGTCAAATCCAGAATTTAATTCAAAATCTTACCTCTAACCTACAAAGCCCTCAACAACCTAGCTCCATCTTATATCACAGATCTTACTATTCCACATTTTCCTAACGGAGCACTTCGTTCTCAGACTGCAGGTTTACTTGTGGTTCCTAGAGTTTCCAAAAGCAGAATGGGTCTTTCAGTTATCAGGCTCCTCTCTCCTGTTCAGTTTCTGTCCATGAGGCCGACACATTGTCCAGTTTTAAGACTTTCCTTTAATATAAATCCTATGGTTAGGGTCCGCTTGGGTTTACTAAGCTATCCCTTAGTTATGCAGCTATAATCTTAGACTGCTGGAGGACAAACTGACCACATTTCCTCTCTCTGTTTTTATTTGTAATTATTTTTATCTTGCGTGTTGTTTTTCCTCCTATAGAAACCACACCTGGACCTGCCATTTGTTTTTCTCCTGTTCCTCTCAAACCTCAGCCGGTCGAAGCAGAGGGCCTCTCGTCCTGAGCCTGGTTCTGCTGGAGGTTTCTTCCTGTTAAAAGGGAGTTTTTCTTCCCACTGTCTCCTTTGTGCTCGCTCAGGGTGGGAGACTGTGACGAAGTGAAGCTTTTATAATGTGAATGTTTCTGTTCAGCGCCCTGAGACGACTTCTGCTGGGACTCAGCGCTATAGGAACAAACTGAACTGTATGTCCAACAAATGTTTAGATTTAAACAACAACCACAAGTAGTTCAGGACATTTCACAACAGCTACGTCTAAAAAAAAAAAAAGCAACCAGCTGACAAAAATCAGATCAAACTAATTCACTGCCTTTTATAGCAACAAACTAAAGGACTTTGTGTCTTTAGCTGCACGTTCAAAACGGTATTTATTTAAATGAAGGGTATGTAAACACTGACGTGTTCAGCAAGTTGTTTGTTTCTTCCAATCATGGATTTATGTTGAAGCCGATATGACCGATCGAGCCGTCCTACAGTTTGTTGTTGCAGTAACACGTTGAACCTTTAAGACGTTTATCACGAGCTCCGGCTCACCTGGCTCTCGCCCAGCGGCAGGATGGTGGTGGGCTTGTCCAGCTGCTGAGTCCCGATCACCGTCTTCATGTAGAGGACCTGGCAGCTCACGCTCTGCACCAGCACGGAGAAGAAGTTCGGGTTGCTGAAAATTAGCGTGCTCTGAAAAAAAAAAAAAAAAATGCAACGTTTCCTCAAAAGTTGGGACGGCAGCAACAAGAGGAAGTGGTTTGAATGAGAAACAGCCGGAGGAACATGTTGTAGTTAAGGAGGTGAATCAGCAGCACTTTAGAGAAGCTGCGTCTCCGGACGCTTCACAGCGACAAACACGACTCAGTCACACGTTTATCGTTTTACCACATAAATCATTTCTGATGAGTTTTTGGTGAATAAAATATGGATTTATATGATTTACAGATCATCGCGTTCAGTTTTTATTTACATTTTACACAACTTTTTCAGAACTCGAGTTGTATTTGCTAAAAAAAAATAAAAAATCTTGTCAGAATTATTATGCTTCCTTCTCATTCAACCTTTATTTATACACGTTGGTCTCATTGACTCACGAGGACTCATTAACAGGAGAAACCTGTTTTACCTGTTTCCTACCTGAACACGATGCAATAAAAAAATTAACAACTTTCTAAACGTATTTTTTTATGCTGGTGATGTTTGCAGTTAGAAGATTATTGAGCAAATATTATGAGAATATACACATCAACATATTTCCTCTAGCTCTGGGTTAACGCGACTGGGAAGGTCTCGTTGCCCAGTACCCACTGCAGGTTTTCATGCTACACTCCCAGACACCACCAACATTTTATCATCGTCTTCTTTCAGCTGCTCCCTCTTCAGGGTCTCCACAGTGAGTCGTCCTCCTCCATCTCACTCTGTCCTCACTCCAACTGCATCCATTTATCTCCTCTTTGTCTTTTTCCTGGCAGCTGCATTTCTAACATCCTTCTACCAGTATACCCACTGTCCCTCCTCTGGACATGTCCAAACCATCTCAGTCTGGTCTCTAACTTTATCTCCCAGTTGTTCAACCTGTGCTGTACCTCTGATGATCTCATTCCTCATCTTATCCATCCTTGTCTCTCCTAAAGAAGAACCTCAACATCTTCATTTCTGCCACTTCCAGTTCTGTCTCTCGTCTTTTTGTCCATGTCTCTGTCTCCAGACCATACAACATAGCTGGTCTCACCACTGTCTTGTAAACTTTTCCTTTGACCTTTGCTGACACCCTTTTGTCTCAAATCACTCCTGAAACTTTTCTCCATCACTCCATCCTGCCTGGACTCTCTTCTTCACCTCTTTACCACACTCCCCATTTTCCTGGACAATGGACCTCAAGTCCTTGAAGTCCTGCCCCTTTGTGACCTCTGCTCCTTGTAGCCTCACTGTTCCACCTCTCCAAGTTCTCTTCCACCTGTTCTCACCACAGACACAATGTCATCTGCAAACATCAAAGTCCACGGGGATTCCTGCCTGACCTCATCTGGTCCATCACCAGAGCAAACAAGAAGGGGCTCAGAGATGATCCTTGATGCACTCCCACCTCCACCTTGAAGCTATCCGTCACTCCTACAGCACGTCTCACCACTGTCCTCCTGTCCTCATACGTGTCCTGTACCAGTCTAACATATTGCAACACCAGATTTTCTCATAAAACAAACGTTTTAACTCATAAATCAAGTTAGAATCTCAATGACACGTTAGAGCAGCGTGTTCCGGCAGACGTGCGAGACATTTTAGTCAAAGCTACAAGAATGGGATGAAACCTACCGTCATGTTTATCAGGACCTTGGAATTGGGGTTGTCAAACCTCACGGTCACCGAGCGCAACCCGGCATCCTCCACCACCACCGACCGGGGGAAGAGGAAGAAGGCGACCAGAGAAGAGGCCAGAAGGCAGAGCACGACCGACAAGACCACATACAGCTTCCTGCAAGGCAAACATCACAGGTCCAAATGGATCAAACCCGTTGAATCCCACAGAACGTGGACGTAGAAGTTAGGGTTTATAGACGAGTTGAAAAGAAACGTCAGTACATAAAACAATTTTTGGACATGACAAAAAGAATCAGATCTTCATTTATTAAACAAAAGATCAGAGTCAGAATATTTACACAAATAAACTTCAAACATTAGACCTGGAGGAGTGAAGTTAAGCATCATAACTCTTTAAGAACTTTTTTTTTTTTACTTTAGTGGTAATTTGTTGTTACTTACGTGTGCTGTGGCTGCAGCCTTTGGTCGCTGTACGGGATGAGAGCAACCAGCTCGTTAACCTGCTCTGTAGAAAGAAACAGTCTGATCAGTAAATCAAGTTCATCTTCATCAAAAGAAGTCGAACATTTTGCACATTTGAGAAACTTGAATCTGTTTGACTTTTCTGACTGGCTGTTTTAACTCAAAACATTAAAGCTAAACTTTTACACGAAACCTATTATGGTTTTTCTGTCTTCGGGGAGCGAGTCATTCTCCTCCGTCTCACTCTGTCCTCACTCCAACTACAGTACCTCCATGTTGTGTACCCGTTGTGTACCCGTTGTGTACTCATTGTGTACCTCCTCTGTCGTCTTATTAAATGTGAGAATGTTGAGTCAGCGTTCACACTAGTTTCCTGTTTCTTCTTCTTTTACAGTCAGTCCACTTTCATCCGCCACAACGTTCAGATCATATCAGATCAACCAGGGATCGTCTTGTATTTTTTTAGTAATTGTAACGTTTATATTTTGTAAAATATTTTACTTTCTTTACTAAAATTATACTGAATGAAATACAGATCTCTTCATCCCTTTCAAAAATATTTTTCACATTGAAATATACGTAAACATTGTTTCTCTTTTTGTGTTGCTAATGCTCCGTTTTGCTTTTACCTAGAGTTTAGCTAATTTTGCTCATTTTAGCTAGTTCTGCTAATTTTAACTTTTAGCTAAAGTTTTGATTTCAGAAACTGACACCCCAGTTGAATAGTCCTGAGCTAAAGTTTTACTAACTTTAACTTTTAGCTACAATTTTGCTCATTTTAACTTTTAAGTAAGTTTAGCTCCATTTAATTACTGTTTTGCTAATTTTAGTTTCTGTTTTGCTTATTTTAGCTTTTTGAAATATTTTTGCTCCAATAAATTTTAGCTACTGTTTGCCAATTTTAGTTTATAGCCAGTTTTTCCTAATTTTGGCTTGAAGCTAGAACTTTGCTCATTTTAGCTTTTTGATAGTTTTACAACATTTAAGTTTTAGCTTTTTGTAAAACCACTTTTCCTTATGGTTTCAATTAAATTAGCTTTTTAGTTAGCTCTTGCTAACCGTGGTTTTTATGATTTAGCTATTTGGGCTTTCATCTTATCTTTAGCTACATATGACTTTTACATTTTGTTTTTAAAAGTTTAACGTTTAGCTATTGTTTTGCCTTTTTGAGCTTTTCGCTAGTTATAGTAATTTTAGTTTACAGCCACAGTTTTTCCTAATTTTTGGCTTGGAGCTAGAACTTTGCTCATTTAGCTTTTTGCTAATGTTTTACATTTAACTTTTAGATAGTTTTAGATGTTTGCTGTTTGTAAAGTTGTGATTTTCCTTGTGCTTTCATGAAATTAGCTACTAGCTACTCTTGCTAACTTGTTTATAGCTATGATTTAGCCGTTTTGGGTTTCATCTAAAGTTTAGCTACATATAACTTACATTTTGTTTTGCTAAGTTTAGCGTTTCGCTATTGTTTTGCCTATTTGAGATTTTAGCTTGTTATGCTAATTTTAGTTTACAGCCACAGTTTTACCCCTTTTTGACTTTTTTTTCTCTCTCTTTGGCTTAAAGCTAGAATTTTGCTCATTTGGTTTCGCAACATTTAACTTTTAGCTAGTTTTAGCTTTGTGCTGTTTGTTAAATTGTACTTTTCCTCATGGTTTTCGTGAAATTAGCTTTTAGCTACTCTTGCTAACTGTGGTTTTTAGCTATTTTGGCTTTCATTTAAAGTTTAGCTACATTTACATTTTGCTAAGATTTAGCTTTTAGCTATTGTTTTGCCTATTTGAGATTTAGCTACAGTTATGCTAATTTTAGCTGTCTTTTTAACTCTGACGGTTTAATAAACATTGCGCTTCACATGGATTTCTTGAACCAACCTGAAGGGATCCGTCCAGTCCCCTGACATGTTGGACATGTTATGCTGTCCCTGCCCGTGAACTCCACGTACGGGAACTGAGCGATGTCCTCTCTCCGGTGGAACCCGTCCAGAGAGTCGTCATCCGAGTGTCCGTCTTCTGCTCGCCGCTCGGAGGTCTCCGTCTCCGGGAGAAGCAGCAGGCTGCTGTCGCTCCGAGACCAGAGCGTCCCCATGCCCGGCTACAGTCCGTCGAGAGGTGGATGAAACGGGGACATCCTGTCCCCCTGCAGTTAAACCTACTGGTGTCCCAGGAGAAGCACGCGCGACTGGGACAGAGAAAGGTTGTGTCCCTGAATGTGTCACAATAGTTAGACAATTATGTGACGGAATTCGGGTGGCGTCACTCGGCCAGCTTAGTTTCGTGCTCTGAAAGTTGTAACTGTTGACCACAGACGTTTGTGACGTTAATAATTTAATTTTAATCAACTTTAAGGGCCTTATAAACAAAATAGCCACCAAAAAAAGCGTACCTTCTCATGCATTTTCTGTTGTCGCCAACTAGTTTACGCTGACATTTTGTTGCATTCAGGTGCCCGTAGAAATGTCGTGATTTGACGAATGGCACGAGACTGGCGTGTTCATGTACATTATTTGTAAGCATAAATGCATCGTGAAATGTTATAAACTTGCAATCAAAATGTATCAAATAATGATTAAACATCAATTCATATAAAGTAAATTAGCATATTTGTGTGATTTTTTTTTTATTTTGTTTTCTCACGAAGCGGGAAAAATCCGAACAATAATTCCAACACAAAAGTGCAGAACATGAACGCATCGATATACAAGACGTGCTCTTTGCTGCCCCCTACTGTTCAGATGCTGCTTTAGCAGCCGCTATGGATCCAAAAGAACATTTTTTGACATGAAGATTTCAGATGAAAATAGCAAGTTTAAAATATTTAGTTACTGCATTAAAAATTCTAGGTCCATAATGGTATTTTAGTTATCTACAAGTTAGTTATTATGCATGGTAAACTAATTTTTACTAATCCATGTTTCTCAAAGAAAGAGGTGCAAATTTGGCATATATGGTAGCCGTTTAATTCAACTTTGATAAATAAATATGAGTTAAATTTGGACCATTGTTCATACCAAAATAAATTTTAAAAACTCAACTGTGTTTAGGAACATCTCAATTCACCTTTTCTTTCGTTAACTGTAGAAATATTCATCAGGAGGTCATATACAGTATGTGTTTTCATAAATATCAAGGCCTGATGCTTGAAACACAAG